GCCTGTAGGTAAGTTGAAGAAAAATGCCTGGATTTAGTGTGGTTTATATTTCGATTTAAGTTCATTAAAGAAGATAATTGTTAGACAATAACATTGTATTCAGTATATACTTAATGGCATAGGTCCGGTTTGTCTAATCTAATCTTACAATACGTAAATACATTAAAAAGGACAGAATCTAAGCTATAAAAATACATGGATATTTTGCTGATCGCTTTTTATCGGTTCGGTTTTGTTTGCTAGGTTAATAACATATTATGCACAGGGAGCCCATTTGACACAAACGTTTTTAAATGAAATAAAATTAAATCTGCAAGAAAAACTCTAAAAATATATGGTCGAGAATTGGTTGGTTGCTTGGTTTTCGRTTGGTTTTGACATATCTTCATTATTTATCCCTATCTTTTACACRTGCAATCGATAAARAAATTGYAAAAATRWAATAAAAATAAAAAAAGAATGTTAGGTTACTATTTYCTCTTACYYTTACTGCCAGTAACCGTTTCAAGTCCTGCATCAATGACAAGAGAAGAAGGAGAAGATGCGGTGTTCATGTTTAATACCAGTACCAGCATCCTAGAAGTGGCATGGGGTATACGAGATGGTAACAGCATAAATCTTAAACCAAGGTTGATAAGAGTTGACATAATTTCTGGTGTACAGTTGACGCCTAATGCTGGTTACGCAGGAAGAGTCAGTTTTGTTGGTAATCTGTCAAAGGCTCAGGCGTGGTTCAAGATCACAAACCTGAACATCAATGACACCAATCAGTACATGGCAAAGATCAGGGTTCGTGGTACATCGTTCTACAAATACATACCTGCACAATTAACTGTCATTAAACAACCAGGTAAAAATTCATTTTGATTAACCCTTCTTGTTATCCATTCTTCTCCATCGGGTGTATCATCGTCTCCCTGAGGTGGGTCATCCTTATACCTGAGGATTGTTCAAGGGACAAAGAATGAAATGCTACACTACCTAAAGACTATCCCTAAGCTTACCGTCAATGACGATAATGTCCAAGCACTAATAGAGTAAAATGGGCTGGGGGAATCTTTGGTGTCATCACTACAAAACTATGGAACTCTTTCAAAAATGACATTAAAAACTCAGTGTCATTTAATTCATTTATATAGACGTAGAATATTCAAACAATTTCTAAATTATCAAAAAGAATTATATAAGTTATTTTATTTGGCTCTCACAAATCACATGTAATACAAGACCATAATTTCTTCTCATCAATTGTTACTAGAACTTGTGAACCATCGATAAACAAAGCCACGGCCAATAATTTGTAAGCATAGGATTGTCATAGATATGCTACTATATGATCAGCTTGTAAAGAAAAAAGGCGAAGCACATCTGAAACAAGGGATCATGAAATAAATCTTTTTTGTTTTAATCAATGTTGGAGATCCTTCAACTGATTGTACACCATCATTTTTCCTTGACGATATAAGTCTCTTCTTTTTGCTAATATTTTTTTAAATAAACCAATTAAATGATAGCTTTGTCGCCTTAAAGGGGAGCGTGACATGACAAATTGTCATAAGCTGCAGCACTTCACGCAACTTAAAATTTACAGCAGTCTTAACCTTTAGAATAGGTTACACTACAAATGTTAAACACACGGCAGCAAAGCAGACGGACATGGAAAGATTTATTTGCTTGTGATACGGTTCACATATTGCCTAATTTATATTCAAGAGATCGGGTTAACATTCATAGAAATAATCACAATCACACAAGATGTATGCCATTTTATTGAGCTGTGTAGCAATGATTCTACAGTTATTTCCGCCTGTTGGTAAGTTGAAGAGAAATACCTTGATTAATGAGTGCAGTTTACATTTCGATTTTAGTGTCACTAGGAATTCGTATAGAAGATAAATATTTTATAAAATTATTGTATTCATCCAATTAATGGCATAATTGTATGTCGATCTGATATTACTTACTAAAACAACCAAAAACTAAAGTAACCAAGGCTGAAAGATATACTGACATTGGAATTGGTGCTGGTCGCACTTCATCGGTCGTTCTGTTTGCTGTTATAAAATATTTTATGCACAGGAAGCCCAATTGATGTAAACGCAATACAATGGAAGCCAATACCAAAAGAGACATATATTGAGGCTGTCCATATTAATTGAAGTCAATATACAAAAGGCGTATTTTTTTATTACTTCAACTTTAGATTTTAACAATATTTTCTATACCTGTGTAAGCCAATAACATAAATGCCATAATATACTTTTATAATCTTTATTTTTATTACTCCTTTTTCTGGCTATTATTTCATTCATTCATGGGAATACCTGTAATTTTATCATGATAAAAGAAAATTAAACTCGCGACAATTGGCACTTGGTTGCTATAAATATGTGTACTTTGTGTTTTCTTTTTGACCTAATAGATTTTTGATCATTACTTATTCGAATTAAAGTAAAGATGCCATGAAATATTACTTTTTATAATTGCAGGAATTTTCACGTTGGGAGAATTTATTGTTTCATCAAGAAAACTGCATATTTTCATGCAAAAAAAATCAAAAAAAAAAAAAAAAAAAAAAAATTAAAGGGGGAAGAAAAGACAGTCTGTTATTGTTTTCTCTTTCCTTTACTACCAGTACCATCATCAAGTCCTGTCTCAATTACAAGGGAAGTTGGCGATGACGTGGTGTTGATGTTTAATACCAGTACAAACATACTAGATGTATGATGGGGAATAAGAGATGGTGACACTAGTAAATTTAAACTAGTGCTCATAGCAAATGACATATTCTCTGGTGTACAGTTAAACCCCAATCTCAATTCAACAAATTATGCAGGAAGAATCAGTTTTATTGGTGATCTTTCAAAGGGTCAGGCTTGGATCAAGATCATGAGCCTGAACATCAACGACACCAATCAGTACATGGCAAGGCTCTTCGCACAGGGAGGAACACCAGGCCAATACAACTACATATTTACAAAACTGATTGTAACAAAACGAGGTAGTTTATTGGTTTGCAAGAAACTTACATTGATTGACCAATATGACTTACTCTAAGGATGTAACGTTACAAGTCGGAATCTGGCGATGCTAGCTTACAACGAGTAATAAACCATTTTATATGCATAACGTTTCTCTGCTAAGGGTTTCTTTTACTTTCTTTATATCTTTAGTACTTATATCCAGTCCTGGACCACTGACAAGAGAAGTGGGACAAGACGTGGTGTTCGTGGTCAACAGTACAGCAATGTCAGAAGCCACATGGGGAGTACGACTTGGTGACACAAATGACCTGAAAATCACTTTTGACCGCGTATTTAACCCTGGTGGTGCATTTCCAGACACCAAGATCAATTCAACAAGTTACGCAGGAAGAGTCAGTTTTGTTGGTGATCTGACAAAGGGTCAGGCTTGGTTCAAGATCACAAACCTGAACATCAATGACACCAATAATTATATGGCAAAGATCAGGGTTCGTGGTACATCGTTCTACAAATACATACCTGCACAATTAACAGTCATTAAACCACCAGGTAAAAATTCATATTGATTAAGACTCATTCGACATTTATAGCTTCAAGATTATTTCCCTTCCTTCCTTCTTTTCAACATTCCTTGTTTTCTTCCTTCCTTCTTTCCTTCCTTCCTTAATTTTTCCTTTTTTTATTCTTTTGTTAACTCATTTTCTTTTATATTTGTTTTATCCCATCCAAGTTCTTTGTGATTTTCTGTCTAGTAACTACAGAGCCTCTAAAGACATCAACCAAAGAACTCACCACCGGAGTTTCAAGTTCACAAACCTCTCCTCGGCCGACAACATCACAAGTGCCTCGTGAGTAGCCCACTTTTTTCTCTCATTGTTCAGTAAAGTAGACAGAAGTAAGGACCTTGAGCTGCTGCAGCAATATGTGACATTTTCAGTACTATTTATTTTTACTTTTATAGAACTTTCAAACCGAAGCATGTCAATCAATGTGGTTAAGGACGTTGTTGGAGATTTTAGTGATTCCAACTCTGCTGCTTTCAAACAATTCAGCGAAAACTTTGTTTCTGAGGTGAGCCGTGTTAAAAGACGAACGCCTATCTGAACTAAAAGAGGTATTTTGCATGTTACTGATCACAAAAAATATGAAATGGCATAAAACGTATATAGCAATAAAGTCTAACAAAAGAGGGGAGAGTGAATGAGAAATGAGYAGTAAAAAAGGACATACATTGTCTCGTAGTCTTAGTTAACTTTTATCAACAAAAGCCGGCGAACATTAGAGGCAAGTGTAATGCTTTTAATGTGATATCTATTTGCTTTTACTTAGATCAACTCTGTCTATAAAAATATCCATATATTTGAGAAAGCCAAGGTCACTAGTCTCAGGTAATACCCATATATAAAACAAAAGGTGGGAGAAAACGAGAGGTGTTTTGAGGAACCATCTAAACCTTGATTTTTGCTTTGTGTTTCTTCAGTTACTACGTTCATTGCTAACYTTTATTTTTGGTCCAATTCAAAAAAAAGTGAGAACATCATTCCTGTGAAGTTTGTCGTTTACTTCAAGAGCACAATAAAACCAGATGAAATTTGCGGTCCACTCAAAGATGCAGTAAAAGACAATAGACTTGGAAGTCTCAAGATAGTACCTGGTTCATTAGGATGCTCTAATGGTAGGTTTGAAAGGAAGCAGGGCAAAATGATGGACTAGCTAAAAACTTGCTACAAACTTGCTGASTGATTACTGACTGATCACTTGGATTGACTGGTTTACAATTTTTTCTTAAGTATGGTGCTCCGCTATGATGCTGAATAAGTATTATATTTCGTTATAGATCCCAACACAAGTTTTCCCAAGAAGCAATCAAATTCTGCTAGCACTTGTAAGTATCTGTTAGCAGATGTAACATATCTACCCAAAGCATTGCAAATACAGCCAATCAGAATGCATGAAAGCAGTCGTACATACTCTAGTGTGCCAATACCATGAAATACAAATTCATGCACTTGCAATATTCTATTGCCAAAAAAGAACATTATACATACTATTTCAATACAGCTAACTTCCATCAATATTTTTTGATATATTTATCTTTCATAGGCACGTCAATCATCGTGGCATGTGTTACTGTMAACATATTCCTGATTCTGGTTGTAGTGTTTCTACTTATCTAYATTTGGAGATTACGATTAAATACTGGTTAGTAAGCCAATTTTGGGTCTTGCTTCGTGTTTCAGGATGTATTCTATTCTGGGTTAGGGTTTTTGTATTGCAGGGTATTGTTTACCTCCAAACTCATTGTTCTCGGCTATCATGGCTCAGGTACCCTGCAACACCAAGAAAGAGCCCAACTTTTTAAACATTAAATAAATTTCGTTTCTTTTTTTTATTTTTATTAGTGATGGAAGCTAATTTTTTCTCTTTTCTTGTTTTGTAGAAAAAAGAGCAGGAATAAGGTATTTATTTGTTTATTTATTTGCTAAATTTGCTTGTTTCTTAATTATATTATTTTTCGTTCTTGCGCTTCGATTGTTTCCATTGTTTGTTTTCATGTTGTTACTTTAGAAACTCATCAAGCATACAAGACAAGAACCCTGAAGCTAATGAGGTAGTGTGTCCTTTGTTTTGTTTGAAACGCTGCGATCAAATCTATGATAACGGAACTTTGCCAGCCGAATGTTTGCAATACAGATCGCAAAACAACATATATTTGCTTGTGTTTGTAAAATAACAAATGCATCGTATTGTTTAGAATGTCCATCCAATGGAAGACACCTCACAAGGCATGACAACAAAAACAGCTCGAACGCCAAATGCTGAAAAGGAGCTTTATGAAACGATAAATGAAAACAGAGTCAAAAACAATGTTGCAATAGCAACAACTGTGAAACATACGAGTGGGCCTTCTGTCGGCGTCCAAGGTGACGCACCTTCATTCCCGCAACATTACCAAGAGCTTCAAAGAAAGGCACCTAATCCGACCCCGCTGTATGAGCCTCTCAAGCAGCAAGGGGTTAGTAACAAAGAAGAGCTGGCTTCAGAAGGTCCAAAAACATACGAACAACTACAGCAGAGTGCATCAGGAAGAGAATACCAGTCATTGAAGAGTCATAAGGATACCGAGAGTAAAGTGTGACGCAATATCTCTACAGTTTAAATAATTCTTCAAAAGCTACTAAATAAACAAATCTACTCGAGTTTTGATATTGAAATTGCTGCAGCGCTACCACGTGTCAACATCAATTTCTAGCTGGCTTTATTTTCTAATCATTCAAAGGTAAAAATGCTGCAACTGAATGGGAATACATATTCTTAATACATATTYTTAATTCTTAATGAWTTRCGCCACTGAATACYTTCTTATTCATACTCATGTGGAAAACAAAATAAATATATATTTCAGTTCATTGTGGTTGTATTGACTTTTAGAACTTTTTCCGCTTAAGCTACAGCTCACTAAATAAACCGCCATAATAAATGCGCAATGTGTCGACCCAAGAACTCCGTCATTCATCCTTTTGACAAAGGTACAATGCCGCTCATTCTTATGCGCATGGTCAATAACATGTCACAGATCCAAAAAAAATAGTCATCAATAAACAGTTAATTCGAATTTTTAAAATTAAATTTCAACGCTGTTTTTAGTGTCAGCTGTAAGAATACCAGAAAGGCTCTTGGGTCTTTCTGGCACGAAGTTTGACAAGACCACGTAAAAAAAAAGAAAAGCAGAGCGGATCCGTAGTTTTAATGCCATCATTAGTCACGCAGCCGAAGCAATTATTGTCGAGTGACAAACAAATTATATTCAACGGGTAAAAAGGTTAACTTTGTTGACATTAATTTGCGAATAGATGAGTACGCGAAAGAGGTAGCATCAGGTGGTATATATCAAAAGTACTCCTGATCTCGATTCATGTCTATATAACAAGATCTATTCAGATTACTTCGTCACTTAAACCCTTTATATTTGTATTTCCTGATGTTTTGTGGATTCTTCTTGTGTTTGTTGGGCATCACTGTTGGAATACTTCCGCTTATTGGTTAGTGACATCCACTTCTTCTGCTTACCATATATCGAAAGTGCAATGCATGTATTTACAATCTAAATGAGTGATTTGATGATAAACCTAATCAATGGAACTTTAAAAAAGGACTTGATTGTTTTGATGGGTATTAAAAAAACAGTAAATTAAGAACATCTTCAACTGAAATAAAAGTTACTTTTGATGTCGTAAATGATGAATACCTTTCGCTATAAT